TATAATTTGATCGCGGCACCGCCTTAAACGTGATCTTCTTTTGTTACGCTTAAGCAAACGAAAGTTTGATTTTTCAAGGTGAAAACAATTTCAGTACAAAATCATGAATTAATATTTCATCTTACGATGATAAAAATTATTTGCTGAAGTATTGAGATATTCATGTCGAATCATTATTTTAATATTTGTTCAAACAAATTAAAAGTTATAATTTGTTCAATGTTTTCTCTACTTTTCTATTTTTTCTTTGGAGCTTGTACATACTCATTTAACATCTACAACTAACAACGCTACGTACAAGTACTCCTTTTATAATTAACGAGAAGAAATTGTATAAGAAGAGAATTTCAAATTATTTATTATTTTAAGCTATTTTGAAGATTAAGAACTACCACAATTGGGAAACTGACAAAATGAATGATTACATTAATAGGAGTTGTAAAATCTAATTTATTGTGAAAACAACAACTACACAACATGCTACTCATTGTATTTTGTTGCTCTATGTTTCCTACTACATACTGTCTATAAGGGGAAGAAATAGTCAACGTATAATAACTCTTATTGGTTGTTCGGATCTTGAGGAGCAGCTGACGAAAACACTTCTTCATTAAGGTGACACTATTTTTAGGATCAGAGTTTTTCCAATTACGAAATCTAACATTAAGTAGATGAAATGCAAACTATTTTTATTAGTAACAAAGAAATTGAAAAAAAAAAACAAATAAAAGTAAAACTAAAATACTGGTATGCAAGAGAAGAAAAAGTAAGAAAAGAGCGAATATAAAGATAGGAGACGAAAAATTAGAAGAAGTGGCTGATTTTAGATACCTAGTAAGTCAGATAAGTCAGGACGGAAGGAGTAGTAGGAACATGAAGCAGAGGATAGCGCAGGGTCGTGTCGCCTTTAATAAAAAGAAGTCACTTCTATGCTCGCGAGCGGTTAATTTAGAAATTCGATAAAGGTTAATGAATGTTTGGAGAGAGGCGTTGTACGGGTGCGAAAGAAAAAGTTAGAAGCCTTCGAAATGTGGTGTTGTAGGCGAATGATGAGGATAACGTGGTTAGAGGAAGGTTAGAAATGAAGAGGTATTAGAAAGAATAGGAGAACAGAGGACTATATGGTAAACAATAAGATATATGTGAGATAGGTTAGGAGTACATCTTCTCAGGCATGAAGGTCTAGTCAGAGACATATTAGAGGCAGAAGCAGGAGTTAGGAGGGGTAGAGGTAGACCTAGGTTAGATTACTGTTCGCAAATAGTTATGGATGTTGGTTGTTCTAGTTCTGAGAAAATGCGAAGATTACCTCAGGATAGGAAGGAGTGGAGGTGCGTGTCCAATCGGTCTTAGGACTGACGACCTTATGATGATGATGATGAAGAAAGAAATTGAATACCCAGCTTTATCCTGGTACTCTAGGTGAAACAACGAATATTCCATTATTCAACAATTAACCCTTGTTAAAATAAGTTTGGTAGAAAGTAATTTTGAATGTTTGCCATTCAACACAGAATTTCTCGTCGCAGCGGAAATAAACTTGCACTTACTTTTGAGGTTAGAGACAGCCTGTGTGTGGTATACCTAACACTAGCTATAAAAGGGGGAGAGATTTGGAAACATATTTACAGCTATTCATTAGAAGATGTAACTATACAAGAAACATAGGAAAAGAAAGATGGGTAGTGATGGATTATCTCACAGTTCATTCTACTTCGTTTCAAGAATGCGTATAAAACCCTTGTTGTTGTAGTGTTGTAAAGGACCTGACAAGGGTTTATATAGGTGTCTATAAACCGGATTTATAACGGAGTTTTTGTGTATTGTATATGCACGATACGTCCATAATTCTGTTCTTGGTCACCAATGATTCTTAAGTCATCAGATGTGGGTCGTACGAGGAGGCGCTCAAGTATCAGCATGGACAACTTGTCATTTGTTTAACAATTTTTCAATTTTTGAGCGATTTTTGTTTTTGTTGTTTGTGAAAATTACAGTACAAAATTGGATGTTGATCACCTGCAGCAAGAGTCCAACAACGGGCGGACTGCATTAAGTAGCTACAGGAAATGAAACTAATGCAGGGTAGAAGTCCGAAAAACTCCAAGAATGTTAGCTATTAATAATCAAGTTACACGACAGCGGAACCCCAGTATCGGTTCAAGTTAAAGGTGTTAATGCAGGTCTCATGAAACCCGATTGCTCCAAAACTAAGACATGCAACCCAATAAGACTCCTACCGAAGGGTGACTTGGGACTTGAAAACAGTGTCAGTTGTTTCAATATTTGAGGAAGACGAAGATTTTACCAATAGAGATCTCTAATCAAAAAATTTGAAAAAGTAGACCAAAAATTGAAACTCGAGAAAATAAAAGGAGAGACAGGATCTCATCCACGAACTAGAACTAATTTTGAAAAACTACAGAACAAAAGGGTTAATGAACGGTTGTCCTGACAGTTCATTTTCCTAAGATATGGAAAGTAACAAGAAAATTCATGGGCAGTGAAAGGCTCGGTTGTCATAAGAAAAAACATACGTACAGCCGCTCCCCACATCCGACAAGTCGCAAATGGGTTCACGCGTCTGGGTTGGCTCTCCAATGCTGAATATACGAGCAGGATGACTAAGGCCCCCGGCTTCTCTAATAGGAATTGTACCTTGCCTCGAAGAGCGCCACCAGAGGGAAGAATGTACGGGTTAAATGACTTCATTGAAATACAAATTGAAAAATTCAAATAAGAAGGATGTCGTAGACAAATGGAATGACCAAAACAGGAACTACGTCGTCAGCGAAAGACATTTAAAAATTTAGTTGGAAACGATAAAAATGAAAAATTGAGAACTGCACTTCACTTTCTGAAGGATGATCCTTGGAGCGATGGCTTTCTGATCGTCAAGAGGAAGCTGAAGGTAAACTCATAAGTTATTGTATCCCACTAGTAGGCGTTATTTGAGGCGAGATATTCTATCAGTATAGTTGAAATTGAGAAATTAAATGTTTAAATCCGGAAAGGTACTAGGTCCAGATGACGTAACGACTGAAACACTGAAACTAATAATACACGAAACACAAGAGATGGTAAATAATAGGAGTGTTCTGGATCTGCTATACAAAGGGTGCTGTCCCTTTATGGAAAAAGATTGTTAAAGGTGTATGTTTCAAGCGCGGCGCTGTACTGGTCGAAACATTGACGGTGGGCGCGGTGGAAAAGTTTAGAAGCGTTCCAAATGTAGTGTTACAAGCGAATGATGAGGATACTGTGGAGAGAGAAGGTTAGACATGAAGAGAAAGATAGGAGAACAGAGGACTTTATGGAAGTCAATAAGCAATAGGCGAGATATGTTGATAGGGCATCTTCTCAGGCATGAATTTCCAGTCAGAGACATATTACAGGCAGAAACAGTTAAGAGGAGTACAGATAGACCTTGATTAGATTACTGTTTGCAAATAGTTAAGGATGTGGGTTGTTCTAGTTTTGCGAAGATTAGCTCCGGATGATAGGAAGTAGTGGAGGTGCGTGTCCAATCAATCTTAGTACTGACGACCTTATGTTGATAATAACACCCCATCTCCAATGCTTGTAACTTTTTCTTTTTCGCATACATCGTCCACGTTTCACAACTACAAAGAGCCATGCTCCAACCATAGACTTTAAGTGACTATCTAATCTTTACCAAGTTAACCGATCGCGAGCACAAATGTGATTAGCTATCCATTTTTTGTTGTTAAAACTGAGTCGGCCCTGCGTTATTGTTTTTATATCCACCATTTTTTCGTCCTGAGTTATGTGACTTCCTAAACATCAAAGACTTCCTGCAGTCCTTTGTCTTCTATTTCCATTTCTATATTAGCCCTGACTTACTTTTATATTATTTACATACCTTAGGTAAGGTTACGTGATTCCAAAAAGGGTACGTCCCTGTTCGAATTACTCTAGCAACCAACTTTGATCATTCCTTGCAACCCTAAGTTCCTTGGAGTTAGTGTTGGCGACATTTTCCCTCCCGGTCGTCTCCGTCCTCGGCAGTTTTAAATTATGGGACACGAGCATGTAAAAACATTGAAATATAAACATAAACAGTCTGGAGTTTCGAGGCCAACGCTATCGAAAGGGGTTTGGTGCTTTTTGAGGGATCATTCTGATATAGTCTTTTCGAATATACAGTCTAATTATTTTTTCCAATTAGTAAGAGTTTCATTAATTTTGTTATTTTAAGAAAAAGGAAAAAAATAAAGGTTTTTAAATTCTTCGTTGTGAGTGTTATTGTTATTGATATAATTATCTAACATTAGGTAAAAATTTAAGTAATTGTCTTCACGAATTTACAAACTTAGATCATGCTATTTTGGCTAGCTTACTTCGGATGAAATTTTAGCATTAGCGTACTCTTGAGAAACGTGCAAAGACTTGTAGTGGATAAGTATTTCCACTTGCTCGACTTTTATTCTGTGCGAAACTTTGAACGTGTGGTTTTACCCTCCTTTTGTAGATATCTTCGACGAATAAAAACGATTTATTTTAATTTCATGAACCAAAGAAAGGGACATTTCGTAAGTAAATATTTTAAGTGGTAAGGTATGCCGCCGACCTATATACATTTCAATAATTTGTGACAGTATTTGTCTTATTACGTGGTGTAATTCGAGCACGGCGACAGCTGATGAACTTTTGTTTCTTTCAAAGCAAAATGAGGCGTCACCCGACTCGCATTATTAAGCAACGAACAAATAATATGCCAACGGACGAGAGGGCGTTGTTTCATTCAGCCACCGTTTTTAATAGAATTGAAATGCCACATTCCAGTAATCCAATATCGAACAGGACCGTTTTCCTTTGTTTCGAATAAAAATATTGGGTGGAGCTCCTCTTTGTTATTCTGATGATTTAGGGATTTTCAATAAAAATCTGATAATCGGAGTAGATTGGGCGGGGATTTAGATCATTTATATAAATTATGAATTACAAAGAACCACCTTATAGTTGTATCCATTCTTGTGCTTAACGTGTTATTCCTATGGGCTTTTGGAATCGTTAAAGAGAAAATGATACTTGTGAGTTCCAATTATATTTTGTATTGTTCATAAATTAAACTTATTACTACTACATTTTCTGCTTACATGTGAAGTACACCAATCAACATGTTTATAACTTAAGTAAATTAAGTATAATAAATTGCAAGTATGTAAATTAAAAGACTAATGCATGATAGGCCTGTGGTGGCGAATGTTTTTGTGACTATCTCAAAAATACCGACTCTGTCGATTTGACTTTCTAATTGTAATTCGTAAGGCGGATGCAAATATGCAGCAGGGAAATAATGAAATCGAATTTTTCATTGAAGATCTTGCAATTTCGTTAAATATTTAAAACTTGTTTTGTGTTTTCAATCGATTTAAAGCTTTTTAGTAAATATCTGGCTTCATCATGAAGATAATTAAACTTTGCCAGTCGAAATCAAGATATTTAATTATTGGTAACATAACATATATAGTATAGTAATATATTCGTAAATAGATACATATAAATATCCTTTTAGACCATCCTTTTCATCCATTTGAATTTCTCATTTTTTTGGTACCATTTCTTATTACTAGTTCCTAGTTGCAGCCTGTATGTTTCCACGGAGAAAACTAAATTTTTATGACAACGCAAAAATTACAATTTTCGATTGTAAATTACTGAATTTGCTGTAGAAATAGCAGAATTTATTAGGTAACTTGTAATAATCTCAATTTTTTATGACATTGACATGTTTCTTTAAAAATTATTTTTAATTTCTTAATCATTATATTAATCTACACATCGAAGACGCGATCAACATCATTGTACAACTGTAGGGATAGATGTACAGGGGCAAAAGATTAGTATGCTTAGGTTTGTAGATAATATAGCAGTATTAGTATCTACCAAGGAGGACTTAGAGATAGCTTTAAATAAAATGAATGCGGTACTGACAAAACAGTACTGTATGAAAATAAATAAAAGTACAATAAAAATACTGGTATGCAAGGGAAGAAAAAGTAGGGAAAGAGCGAATATAAAGTTAGGAGACGCAAAATTAGAATAAGTGACTGATTTTAGGTATCTAGGAAGTCAGATACTGCAGGATGGAAGGAGTGGTAGGAATATAAAGCAGAGGATAGCGCAGGGTTGTGTCGCCTTCAATAAAAAGAAGTCACTTCTATGCTCGCGAACGGTTAATTTACAAATTCGAAAAAGATTGTTAAAGGTGTATGTTTACAGCACGGTGCTGTACGGATGCGAAGCATGGATAGTGGGCGCGGCGGAAAAGAAAAGGTTAGAAGCGTTCAAAATGTGGTGTTACAGGCGGATGATGAGGATGCCGTAGATAGAGGTTAGAAATGAAGAAATATTAGAAAGAATGGGAGAACAGAGGACTCTATGGAAGTCAATAACAAGTAGGCGATATAGGTTAGTAGGACACCTTAGGCATGAAGGTCTAGTCAGAGACATATTAGAGGAAGATACAGGAGTTAGGAGGGGTAGAGGTAGACCTAGATTAGCAAATAGTTAAGGATGTGGGTTGTTCTGGTTTTAGGGAAATGCGAAGATTAGTTCAAGATAGGAAAGAGTAGAGGTACGTGTCCAACCAGTCTTAGTCATGATGATGATGAATTATTACAATTAAATTTGTAATATCAACTAGAGTACCTAGTAAATTTATTTGTGCTGGGATTTTATTTTTACAAATTCGGGTCCAAATTGTAATTTTTATTATTTTCTCTTACGAAGCAACGGGATAGTGGGATAAATTGTAAATATCGCTTTAATATTTATACAAATCTTCCTTTGCATTTCCTCTGTGTTCTTAGCTTTTTTTTCCCAATACTATTTCTTGAATTTTTGTATCATTTCTTTCAGTCCTCTTCCGTTGTTTGTTAATAATATTATGTCATCTGCATATAAAACTGACTAGATGTGTCTTCTACCAGTTACCATTCTCGCTTGCTGTATACATTCGTGAATATAATATCAATAGTTTAATGCTCTATATTTAATTTTTTATTCCTCAACTACAGTTCCAATCGTCAAATCGTCATCGTGCAGAAGCATCAACCTATGAATTCAAATTTCAATTAGCAGTTATTTTTTATACCTGTTCAATATTAAAATTGACCAGTATATTAGAAATTTGGTAATCTGTGTTTTTGCGACATCTTAAACAGATGCTATTAGAATAACATAAGCAGCCTTTCTACTTTATGCCATAAAACAAAATTTGCAAAAAGAAACTTTTCAAATTTTCAGCCTTCATCGGCTTCACTTTAAATTAACCAATTTCGTTTCGTACTAGATTTTTGTTAAACGCTTTTATGACAAAATTACTGTATAAGTTACCTGCTTTTGACATTTACCTATTATTACCTATTTAAATATACAAAGCAAGAAGGCTTTAAAGAAAATTGATGTCGTTAATGTTGCGTAGATGGCTTGTCTTTATAAGCCAATAAACACTACTTAATAGTTACGTAACATATCTATGTATAAGTGCTTAAAGAATAAAATGTGTTAGCTTTTAGTTTTTAACCCTGATGTCACGTTTTCAAAATAAATGAATAATGATAGCAATAAATAATGGTTTTATAAGCTTTAAAGTGTTGATGATGAGCCCAATATTTTTAATAGCGAAAGGAGAACATACTTCAACAATTTTTGATACGTTTAACAGCCATAGATCATGTGACATAATTTCAAAATTTCCGTTAGGACATTAGATACAATATAAATGCCAGTTTAGAAAAGTACTTATAAATAATTATCATTAGTTGATTATTGGAGGAACTAAATGATTTACCAAACATAATGGTTATCGGCGATACACATTGAAACTCTATTTTTGATTTTTAAAAAATTCAAGATAATAAAACAAATTATGTATCAAATATAATTCACTTACCTAAAGAAGCCGACGTATGGGAAAATAATTGTCAATAATTTGAAACTTTATTATATTTTTGAAGAGAACTGAATATTTCCCAATTATTATTTTTTTTTGATTTAATGCACAAATGTTTAGTGATACTTCCGTTAGGATATATTCTGCTGCTGTTTGATAGACCTTTAAACAACAAATTTTTCCATTTCTTTCAGTTGGTCTACGTATTTCATTTTCGGTGTACCTCTTTTTCTTCTGTCTTCTGTTGTTCTCCGATAATAGAGCTCGGCAGAGCATCCAAGGCCAATATGGCGGTGCCCATGGCTAGCATGAGCTAACAGTGTAGCATTTATATTCTCACTCATTCGTGCAAGTGCATGACAATTACATTTATAGACTGTGAAACTCAAAGCGAAGATGAAATTATAGATAGAATAACTAAAGGTCAAAATGATTCAAAGATTTAAATAAATATTGTTCTCAGTTTTTAACATACGTCTATCATCTGAATGATTGTATTTATTATGTATTACGTACTCTCATACGCAGATTGAAATTAAAATTTATAGTTGTATATCTTGTCAACTATTGATTTCCCATTATTATTCCCATTTTCCAATCATTAAAATAAGATTAAGAACGCGATTTTAATTTTAATACCCTAAATCGAATAATTTTCCGAAAATTTACAGTTAAATGCCTACAATCCGAAAAGTTTCACTTGCATCGTGGTTTCATAAAACCAAACAATTGTTTTTTGTTCATGTTTTCTTTTGTTTATTCCGTATAGTCGAAAATCTGCCTTTTTATCTATAGCTGCCTTGTACAGTTTATTTTACTTTGCGACTTTTTTCATTTTACGTTATTCTTCATAAACTGCGCCAGAACCACATTCCAAAGCTCACAATCATTCTCGGTCTTTTTTGGTTAGGATCCTTGCATTCCTCCAAGTAAAGGTCTTAATCTTAATTTGTTTTTTTTTATTAATACTCTTATTTATTTGCGACATAAAAAGAAATCACATTACATCATATGTGTGCTTGACTATAACAATTCTTGTTATAATGTCAATTGTAGATCTTGTGACTTTTGCAATGATACTGCCTAATTATTGATTTACTTGCCGTATGGAACTGTGATCTAATGCAACGCGGTTGTTTTAAAGCTGGTTAGAAACATTTCAGAGTCAAAATAAAATGAATGTAATAAAATTTAAGCTTTCAAAGTTTCACGCTTTATGAAAGTCGTAAGATTGGTTGGATACGCACCTCTATTCTTTCCTATTCTGGGCTAATATTCACATTCCCATAAAACTAGAACATCCTCTATTCTTAAATATTTGTGAATAGTAATCTAATTTAGGTCTACCTCTACTCCTCTTAACTCCTGTTTCTGCCTCTAATATGTCTCTGACTACACGCCTAAGTAGGTGTCCTACCAACCTATCTCACCTACTTCTTTTTGATTTCCATAGAGTGCTCTGTTCTCCTATTTTTTCTAATACCTCTTCATTTCTAACATTCTCTATCCACGATATCCTCATCGTTTGCCTGTAACATCACATTTCAAAAACTCCTAACCTTTTCTTTTCCGCCGCGGCCACCGTCCATGTTTCGCATCTGTACAGTGCCGTACTCCAGACGTACACCTTTATCAATCTTTTTGGAATTTCTAAATTAACCGTTCGCGTGTCCAAAAGTGACTTCAATTTATTAAAGGTTACTCAACCCTGGCCCAACCTTTTTTTAATATCCCTACTGACTTCTTGGATACCGAAAATCAGCCACGTCTAATTTTTATCTTTATATTCGCTCTTTCCCTACTTTTTGTTCACTTGTATTCCAGTATTTTTGTTTTACTTTTATTTATCCTCATACGATACTGTTTTGTCAATACATCTTTCATTTTATTTAAGCTTCCTTTAAACTCCTCCTTGCTTATTAGTACTGATACATCATCTGCAAATCTAAGTATACTAATCTATCCCTGTCTTTAATGATATTGATCACGTCTTCGATGTACAGATTAAAAACTAGCGGTGACAGTGTGCATCCTTGTCTGAATTCCTTCCAAATATGTATGAAGCATGGTATAAAAATATAAAGAATGAACTACAACAAATTTAGTATATACAATATTCATGAATTATTTCACGTAACTGTACAGTAATTTTGGTATTTCTATATTAATTTATAAAGACACACTTTATGTAGGTACTTCTAACAGAAGTGAATGTAGATGAACTAAAGTTACTGCTTGTGCCTACAGAAATGCCTTGATTGTCTAAATAAGGATTGTATTCCTTAAAACTGTGAATTATTTCATAAATAATTATTATGGATGGGATCGAAAAACTAGAAATGCAAATTTTAGACAATACTAATTAATTAAAGATATATAGGATGTTTCAACAATAGATCGGCTATTATACATAAGAGTTCGTTTCTAAAGTAACATATTTTGAATTACATTTTATTTAAAATTGGCAAAGTGATTGTATTATTTATTTGAAAGGTAAAACAATGGTATGTTCTTAAAAATTCCCTAGGCAAAACAGGCAAATTGTGGTTCGCAAGCCTTTTTGACACCTTTGGTATGGCTTTATCGCATGACCACCTGCTGGTGCTAATGGTGGTTGAAATCGCGTACAGTGTCATTAAATAGCGCATGATATTCAGTTAAAGCGCATCAAATATGACCTAGAACCATGCGGCACCTAGGGGAGACATGGTACATTATATCAGGATGATGAAAATGCCGTGGGCGCAAAAGATTTGAAATGAGGAGGTACTGAAAAGAGTAAGAGAACAGAGGGCGCTACGAAGGTCCGTAAGGAAATGGAGAATTGCGAAGTTATGGCTCCATGATGATGATAGTGGTGACACACCTTGATACACTGCTTTTCTTAACAATTTGATTCTTCTACTTCGAAAACGTACCGACCGCTAACCTAGGCTTTCCTAACTAACCGATTTTATTTTTAAAAATGTTAGTGCTCCTTTATGTGTCATCATCATCATAAGGTCGTCATTCCTAAGATTGGTTAAACATGCACCTCCACTCCTTCCTATCCTGAGATGATCTTCACTTTTCCCTAATACTAGAACAACCTACATCTTTAACTATTTGCGAACATCCCTCCTAATTCCCGTTTCTTCCTCTATGCATGAGAAGATGTTCTACCAACCTATCTCGCCTATTTCTTATTGACTTCCATAAAGTCCTATTTTTATATTTTTTCTAATATCTTTCCATTTCTAACCTTCTCTATCCACGGCAACATCATCATTCGCCTGTAACACCACACTTTTATGTGTAAAAAATTAATAAATATCAGGTGAACTAAAATTTGAAAAATCGGAAACTTTTGTGAAAGACGTAGGTTGCAAAAACTATTAGATGGGTTTTCTTGGAATTTTCTGTGCTATTTAATTTAATAATATCTGACAGGCACATATCGAAATTATTTACCATATATCTACGGTAACATTCTAGAGTCATATCAGAAACAGGATTAGAAATGATGTAGAAAACATTCTTCTCGCAACAGGTACCGTCTGGTCTACTTGTAAAATGTTAAAACGAAGCAAAGTACTTGCGATTTTAAGAAACATGTAATATTTATTTACCCTACAGCAGTGGTTTCCAACCTTTTTGTACCTGCGCCCCCCTTTAAAAGAAAAAATTGTCGCGCCCCCTTAATTTTTTTAACAATCTAATTTCATAAATACTCAACTGATTTTATAATTTATTTAATGGGCTACAAAATAATATAGGATATTATGTAAAAATGTACATAAAATGGATGGATGTTTTAGCATTTGTACCCGAGAAATTCGCGGCGAGGATTGTGGATTAAGTATACCTATTTTGCTGATTCATTTTTTTGACACCTATTCGACTTTTTGGTTTGTATTCGAAAATGATATTTTGGAAACAGCTGCATGCCCCCTTTGTAACAGTCCCGCGCTCTCCTAGGGGGGCGCGCCCCACAGGTGGGAAACCACTGGAATAAGGACTTGTTTAAAATTGTGGTTAATCTTTTCCCTGAATATGTAGAATACATACTATTTATGATGGAATATTTTGAAAATCAGTCACTTCTTCTAATTTTTCGTCTCCTATCGTTATATTCGCTCTTTCTCTAGTTTTTATTCCCTTGCAAACCAGTGACTGATTTTACGTATGTAGGAAGTCAGATAAGTCAGAAAGGAAGCAGTAGTAGGGATATAAAGCAGAGGATAGCACAGGGTCCAGTCGCCTTCAATAAAAAGAAGTCACTTCGATGCTCGCGAACGGTTAATTTAGAAATTCGAAAAGATTGTTAAAGGTGTATGTGTGGAGCGCGTCGTTGTACGGGTGCGAAACATGGACAGTGGGCGCGGCGGAAAAGAAAAGGTTAGAAGCATTCGAAATGTGGTGTTACAGCCGTACGATGGGGATACCGTGGATAGAGAAGGTTAGAAATGAAGAGGTATTAGAAAGAATAGGAGAACAGAAGACTCTATGGAAGTCAATATGAAATAGGCGAGATAGATTGGTAGGACACCTTCTCAGGAGTTAGGAGGAGTAGAGGTAGACCTAGATTAGATTACTGTTCACAAATAGTTAAGGATGTGGGATGTTCTAGTTTTAAGGAAATGCGAAGATTAGCTCAAGATAGGAAAGAGTTGAAGTGCGTGCCCAACCAGTCTTAGGACTGACGNGAAAAATGAGCGCCTTCATAATATAATATCATGTCAACAAAATCAAACAAAACCAACCAGAAAATGGCAAATTACAAAAAATCCCGCAAAAATAAGGAAAAATCCCTTTATCCCTCGAGAACGTCAAAAATCCCTCGAATCGGGATAAATCCCTCGAATTGGCAACACTGCCACTGCCTTACAGGCTCTGTCCATGGTTGTTGCTTATGTTAGATTAGGTATAAGCACCTTTTTGGTAGGGGTTCGAATCTCTATTCTCTCGACCTACTTTAGTTACTGGTTATTGACCGTAATGGCGTTCTTTATCGTATTTTACAGATTGGCCTCCTGTCCCTTGTTTGTTTCTCACTGGGAAGTTACAATCCGGGATATTTTCCCGGAGGTCATGGTGCATTTTTTGGAGGTGGATATTACCCTGGAGGCCCCTCAGTACCGATCAATCAACTGAATAATGCTAACAATGGCGAAGGCAATTATGCATATAGTTATCAAACTGGAAACGGAATTTCAGCTCGTGAATCAGGACGTTATGTAGGAGGTTTGCCTGAAGGAGGAGCCTCAGTAGCTGAAGGATCTTACTCATTTACGGCCCCAGATGGACATACTTATTCTATATCATACACTGCAGATGAAAATGGATTTCATCCAGTTGGGGCTCATATTCCTACCCCTCCGCCCATTCCGGAGGCAATATTAAGATCATACAGAGGTTATCATTACAAATAAAAAATATAATGAAATGGTTTTTGACTAAGATTTAATTTGCGTTCATGATAGCTTTAGGAATTCTTAAATAATAATGTAGATATTTACAGGCATATCATATTCTCTAGAATTTAGTCGTTTAGTAATGATCTCTAAGTAAAAGTAATGTATTTACTTATACAGACATAAACAGTTAATGTGTACTTTGAGCAATAAAGAGTTAAACTCTTGTTATTATTTTTTTTATAGTCATGTAGGTGGTACATGTGTAACAGATTTATATCCTTTACGGATTAATCACAAATGATATAAAGATATGAAATATATATCAAGATAAACATGAACCACTTCTACATTTTATAGAGGATGATACCAAATATATTAAAAAGAAAATTAATTTAAATTTTTTCCCAGTATAAACAACCTCAAGTTAGAGGGAAAATTTGTTGCTGTTGTCACACCCTCGCCGGGAATCGATCCCGGGGCCTTTGCCTTTACGTGAGGTGACAACAGCATACAGTGGGAAAAATTAAAATGAATTTTCATATTAATATATTCGATATCACCCCCTATTAAATGTCAAAGTGGTTCATGTTTATAGTATTAATATAATTACATTAGTTCGACAGATCTGTGACTTAATAAGTTCCGTTTGTCGTTGTTACTACTGTCACCTCTCGTAGCTTAGTCGTCAGAGCATTGGTGCGTAAAGTCAAAAGTCCGGGGTTCGATTCTCAGTGAGGCTATGAGAACACCAACAAATTTTCTCTCATTAACTTGAGTTTATATATAGTTTATAGTCGGAAAAAATTAAAATTAATTTTCATATTAATAATTCATGTCCGATCCGACGGGACTTGAACCTTGGCGAAACTCTTGTACAAACTAGAGTGGGTGGATCGGCTTGCGAGTTTCGATGATTTAGGGCGCCGGACCATAGGTTCAACCATAATGGAGGGGTTCTTAAAGAGAAGCCAGACTAAGACAAGTCCCTGAAAGAGGGCAGCAGCTCTTTCAGTACTCAGGGTGGCAGAGATCACGAGGATCGGTATGGCACCCTGATGCACAATACTGCGATGTGGAAGGCAACGGGAAACCACCACATTATGATCCCGAGTACAACGTACGTTAACAATTAAATGATGGCGTCCTCTGGGGTAAAGCACTCCAGACGTAAACTAGTCCCCCATTCGGATGTCCGTGCGGGGACTACCTCGGGGAATGTCATCAATAAGTGCTATAGGGATAGGTGCAATATTTCACAATGAGGCAAGTAGGAAAATTAGACAATTTAAAAGTAGAGATGGATAGACTAGAATTAGATATAGTAGGTATTAGTGAAGTCCGTTGGCCCGAAGCTGGAGACTTCTGGAGTGGGGACTTTAGAGTAATACATACAGGATTGTTGTGGAATTTACTTGTTGTGTTAGTTTATTTATTTAGTGGCCATTTCATAAAAGACTATTACAATAAGGACAATTAGTAGTGTGATAGTGCATACTAGTAGGGTTCTTATTTAACCGTCAGTTGGTGATGAGTTCATTACCAATGCCTATCGGATAATTCGAAATATTCCCGGTATCTGGGCCAAAATTCGCAGCAACTGGGTACGCCGCTGTCAGTGTTGCATTGAAGCAAATGTCGGACAATTTCAACATCTTTTATAAAAGGTACGCTCTTCTTCTTTTTCACTTTTACCTTTTTTTTGCGAGCTAAATTGTCACTAGATTGAAGATTTGTTGTATTTTGTGTCAGGAAGCCATGTTTTTTTTAATTATTATAAATGGGACACCCTGTATAGAGTAAACGAACGTGTTTTAATATTGGGAATAGATTAGATGTTCAAAATATGAAAGTTTACCGTAATATTTCCGGAAGCGCAAAGTTTGTTATCGTGATCCCCTTGGTTGTGATTAATTTGTCGTTTTCGTAATAATTAAGATGATGTTTGAGTTTGTGATCGTAATTGCCGACAACGCCGGTGGATTTTCTGACCTTTTGTGAAAGAAATAGTGGCTTGCTGACCCTTGGACGTATCTGTGCAAGTTACAGTTGCATGATAAATACTATAAATTACTGGAATGAATTTAGAGTACAAGAATGTGGGAGATGATAAGTTATGCGGAAGAAGAAAACTCAGCATGAAAACTATTTAGGATAGAAGGTGTTTTAACACGAGTAACTGCTACAGAACTAAAACTTGGTTAAAAGAATAATTAATATGTCCACCTCAGTGATAACTCCATAAAGACAGATATGAAGGAAATGATGGAGACAGTAAAAATTGCAATAGATCAAATTAGTACTACTAGTAAACTGAATGAAATTATGAAGAAGTTGAATGGCACGAATAGCCAAAGGGAAGATATAGCATATGCAGACAAAGAAAATAAATCAGAAGAAGGGGGGTTATTATTGTTCACCTTAAAAAATATAATCAAACTAGTGAAACAACAAAAAGAGTATGCAAAGAGAAGATAAATTTTACTGAAATGATAGTTGGTATTGAAAACGTTAAGAAAATAGAAATGGAGGAATTGCTATTACATGTAAAAGCAACGAAAAAAATTAAGAAAATAAATATGGATGTTAAAAACTGGGCATGGATTCTTCAATTGAGAAAGCCAAGAATAAGAAGTTTTGACATGGAAGCAAAAATGAATAATCAGGAATTAATAAAAGCAATGTGAAGCCAAAACACTGAAGTAGTAAATGATGAGTCGGAGAAAGGAAAAAATAATAGCTCAAAAAGACGAACAGTCGTCACCGAAATGGATACACATACCTTTAACACAGCGATGGAAGAAAGAAGATCGAAGATTAGGTGACAGCGTTGGTTTTTGGGGGTGTATAGGTACGCATGAATTGTTATTATTACGAGCTTTGGAATAACAAATGTAATAAGAGAAAAGTATTTTTATGGTGAAAGGTTGTAAGGAAAACCAGCCAAAGTGTAATAATTATACAGAAGCAAAAGAGAAATTAAATTTAAACCATACTATATTAAGTAACGAATGCCCGATGTGCCAAAGAGGATCAATATGAAATGAAGGGCGGTTTTGTATAACAGCATATAGTCACCACAAAAACAATAAAATGTAGTAAAGGGGGTATAATAATATTCATTGTAAATAATTTAACTTAAAAGAATGATTTGGTAGCACACTTATTATAAGAATCTTAACCTATATAATGCATAAGTCATCCTTGCGCAGGGGCCATGCTAATCTATAATCACGCTTGAATAAACCAAAACGTAACAAAAAACAAAGTTGCTTAATTATTTGACTGCCACCCTGGAAAAAGGAAAAACACAATATAATTTAAAAGTACGTAACGGTTAGGTTTTTTCATAGTAGAGAGAGATAGATAAGGGATAGGGAGTATTTGCTATATCTTTGGATTATATGACTATAAAAAAGGAAGCATTGTTAAAAAACTTAAATTTGATGTACAATGTAGCTGCTGACGTGTATGAATGGTTTGAAAATTATCTAAACGACAGAAAGTTAAATTTAACAGCATGGGCCTGAAGAGAAATAAGTTAATCATGGTGTTCCAGAAAGGAAAAAAAGCTTTTGGCTGTTTCATTCCCATCACCGATTAATGCTGGTGGACGGGCAGTCCCTCTGGACTACGTCGAAAGGTAGGGCGGAAGACCCTCTTCAGCCTCCTTTTAGGAATCGTGGGAATGGGTGAGACAGAAGAGAATGAAAAATTATATCTGGAATATTACCGTCTCAGCATTTGCCTAAGTGATTCATGGAAACCAGAGAAAAACTTGGACCAAGACAGACGGACCCGGAATCGAATCGACGTCCGAATTCTAAAGAATGGTCTGAACCTCTAGGCGATGCCGCTCGGTCTACAAGGGAGCAAGTTAGCACCCCTATTGTACATTTTGTATATTAATCACCTGGGCACGGGTAATAAGACATTGTAAAAATATATTTGCCGATAACATTTTGATTTATTTGTGCGGTCCAGATATTAAAAAAAATATAAGTTTACTTTATCAGGAATTAGCTTCGGTTTGTGAATGGTTACATATAAATTCTTTGAGAATAAATGTTGAAAAAACAAAATGTATGGCTTTAGGTAAAATCGGTTTTAGATTTGTGGCAGAAATGAAGCAGTAACAGAAGTTTTAGATTGGGTGAGTAAATACACATATTTGGGAGTCAATATAGATAACTGTCCGAATTTCAGAACATATTAACCATACCAATGTTAAAATAGCAAAGGAAGTTAGTTTAATGCACAGGTCAAGAAAAATTGTTTTAAAAGCACAAAAATAAATATTATTCAAAATAGTTGTAATGCCTCATTTACAATACTGTTCAACAATTATGTGTCTGTGGTCGTATATTCAATAAACATACATAGTGTTGATAAGTTTATTTTGTGTTTTATATTTAATTTAGAATAAGCTTTTATCAATTAGATATTACGTACGTTTGAACTATTTTGTAAGATCGTTTGAATTGATATTCTAAATTTGTGTTTTTTTCCATCTACTAAAATTAATCCTACGAAAAAGTTACATCAATTATGTTGACACCGTGATCATCATCAGATATAGTCAAACAGCTTCCTAGTAGCGATGATTATTCATAGTAATTTGTATACTAATAAACGTGCTTACAGCGTAATGACTGTAAAACGTGCATACACTCTCTGGATGGAATATTGAAATAAATACGCATATCTTTGCAAGGAACAGTAAGTGCGTGGGCCAGGGTATTGTAAAAATTTTCATACATATTTAAGAAGGACGCAGGCATCAAAAGATCAAAAACGCATTGCAGAATAGGCGGTTGTAGTGACTAATCTCTTCTGCCCTTGTTTAACAAATACTTTTGGTTTCGTAGGTGCAGTCTTATGCAATGTGATGTGAGGATGATGATTCGATAAATGTATTCTTTGATGTAAAATTATTCCGTTTTTACGTAGTAGGGGTTATACCTAACTATTGTCAGGTATAAATATCTGATTTATTTTGTTAACGATCAGAAAATCCAGTGATACCTCTAGTGATACTTACAGTGCTAACGATACCTCTACTTTGATTTATTCAAGATGATAGCGGTGAGTAAGGAGTGCATTTTAATTTTCGTTGCGATTTGTTTTAAATATTTATGGGAAAATTAAAACAGTTTATTGTTGGATCGTGTAATCCAATTTAATGTAATAGCATCTTTTATTTCCCATAAATAAACAAAATTAGTGTCAACATTTCACCATCATTCTGGGCAAAGAGAATTCTTTAGAAAGGAAGTAAATAAACCATCGATTTGTTCATATTTTTTTCATATTTTTAAACAATTACAAACTGATGTAAAATAAAAGAGAAAGAAGTCACTTATATGCTCGTGAACTATTAATTTAGAAAATAGAAAAAGATTGTTAAAGATAGGAACGCGGCGCTGTACGGGTGCGAAGCATGGACGATGGACGCTGCGAAAAAGATATGTGGTGTTACAGGCGAATGATAAGGATACAGTGAATAGAGTAGATTAGAAATGAAGAGGTATTAGAAAGACTAGGAGAACAGAGGACTCTATGGAAGTCAATAAGAAATAGACGAGATAGGTTGGTAGGACACCTTCTTAGAGGGCTAGTCATATTAGAGGCCGAAACAGGAATTAAGAGGAGTAGAAGTAGATTAGATTACAGTTCATAAACAGTTAAGGATGTGGGATGTTCTAGTTTTAGGCCAGGAAATAGTGAAGGTGCGTGTCCAACCAGTCCTAGGACTGACGACCTTATTATGATGATGAAACAATAAATTAAATTCTAGTCTCTTTTGACAAAATTAAAGTAATTCTTAACAATTCATTTAAATGAAAATGTATTAAAATTGGAAGTTAGTCTAATAAGTGATAATTGTTTAACTATGACATTATAGTAATAGATGTTTCTGTAAAAGTTTGAACAATGACTATTTTAACATTTTCTCCCATTCGTAAAGTCTATGATATAGCAATTGTAATTAAAAGAATATTATTAGGAGCGATGGTGAATAATCCTATCACGAACTTTCGGTAAAACTTAAGCTATTGACTTTTGCTACATTTCTGGCTTTTTTAGCCTTCGTTGAATAAAAAACGAAATTTTTCCTGTTTCGAACCGTGTATAGTTTTGTGGTTATTTAATATTTCCGCAGCCGTGTCATTGCCTTGTGTAAAATACTTGAAACTGTTCAGTGGAAAGAATTAGAGAGTTGACTAAATTGAGTTAAGTTGAGATAAAACAATTTATATATTTTGAAGAAAACAAAAGACGCCGAAACGTCGAATAATCTCATATTTCAATGTTATCGTTTTCATATTGACCCTCTCAAGAAAATCTTACATTTTTCGCATAAAAATATAATAGTGTATACTAAAGGTATTAAAAAGATACCCTCTGTGATTTGTTTAATGATATATTTACAAATGGTTTCTTCCATGCAAGGAAATAAAATATCTATTTAAACACAAACAGATGTTTACCTATCCGTTGTGTTTATTGACACCTCAATCGTTTAAAAAAGTGGAAAATTGTTTAAAAAACTACTAAAAAAAGAATGTGGTCAACAAAAAATACAAACGTATTAGTGTATCTTACACGGAAAAACTGCAGGACTTTTAATTGTGTTGTTTAATAGAAAATAACAAATGTAAAGTAAATAAGTTAATACCCTTATATGACTTTATAAATATATCAAGTTAAAAATTAATAGATACACCTCAATACCCCTACAAATAACTTTATTATTCGGAGCATACCTGTCAAATAAATTTCTTTATAAATATATCAAGTTACTATTAGGTAGGTACTGATTAAAAATTTCTTTTTCACAGTTTGTATTTCCCTGCCTTTTCGCCTTTGCATTTGGCGCAAGGTTAGATAATGCTTTCTATAATCCAAATGTCCTGGCGTACTCAGGATCACCGACTCCTAGGCCTCTAGAACCTCAAACGTTCCACAATATTATCCCTATTTTACGCTACAGTAGCGATAATAATGAAGACGGCAACTACCGGTTCGCATATGAAACTGGTAACGGGATTGCTGTGCAAGAAAATGGACATCTTTCAGGATCGGTTCCCGAAGGACCAGCCGTTGTATCTGATGGTAGCTTCTCATACACTGGACCTGATGGACATACATACAGTATTTCTTACACCGCTGATGAGAATGGTTTCCGACCTGTAGGAGCGCATATCCCCACTCCTCCACCTATTCCGGAAGCAATTGCTAAATCGCTGATAGAAAATGCCAGAAGTGGAAATGACGCTGATAATGGTCAATATCGTCCTTCAGTTATTCCTGCTTATAGATTTTAATTTACTTATTTACTTATTTTTTCTGAGAAAACGGCAGTGAATATTTAGTCATTTATACTCTATATATATTGTTATTTATAAATAAATAAACCAAATGCAATTTTAGAATGTGCTTATTTTTTTTTTGATCAAAGAGTGAAGGAAAACACAAAACTGATGCACTTTTATGCAGTTTCTGTGGCCAGAAGGTTATCTGTTCAAAGTGTCTATAGTTGGAGCGTTCAAAATTGACATCGCAATAAAACTGTCGTATTTACTTCTTCTTTCAACTTACTAATTAGACTAGTAGTCCAGTCGGTAGAGAATTTTCCCGACATAAATTTGTAACCGGACGGGAGTTGTTTCATGTTGTAGACGGGGAAAAGTTGAACATCCCTGTATATTTTTAAACTTCGAAAAAGTGTGCGTTAACGAATGGGGGAGGTCCAAAGTTGCCAAAAACCAGGTTTTTAGATTTAGAAATTAAGAAATTAAAAACCTTCAATTTGAGCCTCGGTACGATCAATTGTGTCAATTGGTTATTACACAAATCCCAAAAAATCATCAAAAATTGTCATTTCTTGTATATTGATTGTTTATTGCAAAAACGACGTTTTTAGTGATTTTATCACATTGAAATGAAGGTTTTTAAATTTGGAATCGAACTAGTTTCTGTGTGCGTAAATCGGTTAATTTGTTAGTGAGATATTGTTAATTGTTTATCCCAACAGACATGAATAGTTATTGGCGTAACTTTTTTTTGAGCAAACATTTTCAGTTGCACGTAGGTTCAATCTCTTTGCAAAGGTGGAGTTAGAGGCATATCAAAAAATTCATTTTTATCCCCTTATTTATTGCTGTAAATAAGGGGGTCATTTTTCATTATAAACAATTAGAGCTGGAGCGACTCCTACGTAACGTACGAATTTTTAACCGAGGAATATGAAAGGGTGACTTCGAAACAAACATTAAAAGAGCAAACCGAATCTCCTACGACCAGTAGGAATCGAGTTAACACTTTTTCTTTTAACTATTAAATAATGAATTTGGGGGCATTTGATAGAGAAATCTTTATATTTTGTAGTATCGTTTTTAAAAAAGTGGTAATTTTTTTGTTATTGCTAAAAGACCTTTCTAAAGTGATCAGTAATTCCTGACGACGGGACGTAGTTAGCGGTGAGAATAAAACATTGCAGGCTGGCGCGCCGCGTCAATTGGAGAACGCGGAGAAAATAGTCGTATCTCTGAAAATTTTCATCGGATTAAGCTGTTTTTCTTTTTTCAATCTGGGTTAACACAAAAAATTACGAACAGTAGTACTACTACTTCTATTCACGATAGACGTTGTGGGGAATATTATTATCATAGAAAAGAGATGTCAGGTAGGAATTGCAGCGGACACTAATAAAGAAAATAATGTGTATCAAAGATGCAGACAAGCAGAATTTGAGCATTTTGCCAGCATCGAACTTTAAAGAAAGTTCAAATTTCTCAGGAATTTAGGAAAGCAAAGACGTTTTTTTCACTCTCTTCTGTCTTTATTTCGTCCGTCTCATCTTTCTCACCCGAACCACCACCCACCCATTCCCACGATTCCTGAAAGCAAGTTGAAGAGGGCCTTCCGCCCTACCTTCCGGCATAGTCCGGAGGGACTGCCCGCCCACCAGCATTACTGGCTGGTGGGAATGAAACACCCAAAAGTTTTTTAAGATATAATTCCAACTAGACAGCTATAACTAGGGTTGCCACCTTTTCAGGCTTTACATAAAGTATTTCTAGACTAAAAGGTTAAAAGAAAGTACTCGGCATAAAAATAAAGTATTTTATTTTTTGTTTTTAAAAACATATTTTTTGTTACACCTAGCAGCCAGTAACAAATTGTTGTCGCTCTTAAATATATTAATAGCCTCTAAACATGGCAAACAAAGATTTAAGTAAACTAAAAGTTCATTTTTAATTAGTTTTAATGAAGCTTTATTCCTGTCGTCCCGCCACTTTGCGTTCATAACAGAGAATACTCTTTCTGTAAATGCTGAAGTGGCCGGAACGGACAGCAAAAGTGACACTACTTTGAACA